ACCAGCCGAGAACCAGCCAAGGACCAGCCGAGGACCAGTTGCGGGCCGGCCAAGGACCAGCCGAGAACCAGCCAAGGACCAGCCGAGCACCAGTTGAGGGCCAGCTAAAGGCCAGCCGAGCACCAGTTGAGGGCCGGCCAAGGACCAGCCAAGGACCAGCCAAGGACCAGCCAAGGACCAGCCGAGGACCAGTTGAGGACCAGTTGAGGGCCGGCCAAGGACCAGCCGAGGACCAGTTGAGGGCCGGCCAAGGACCAGCCAAGGGCCGGCCGAGGGCCAGTCAAGGACCCATCAAGGAAAGTGGGGAAATTTTGAATGGCTGCTACTGTATCAAGATCAAAATTATTTATTTTTGGTTTGATTGACTGTTTTTTGCAGATTATCAGATCTCATTTCCAGATCCAAAAAGCCAATCAAGTGAAGCTCATTTAAAGAGCAGAACCTAATAAAGTGGCTGCTGGATGTTCTCTGCAGTCCAGCACATTTAGTCCAGTGGAAGTTTCAGTTTTAATGGGACCAAACGTGAATCATGGCTCTTTGAAAATCCTCACTCTTCAAATAAAACTCATGTCCTCCGTGCTGCTTCCTATCCCTCCCTACTGTCTACCATCCTGCCGTTTAATCTCCGGTTCAACTCGGAGTCTAGTGTTGCAGCTATCGAGGGGGTGTGGGGGGGCGGGTATGTATTATTCATCTGGGCCAAACAATAGAGGCCAGACGAGCTCCACAGCTGCCGCGCAGCGGACAGATAAGACCGCGCTCCAAATTATTCATGACGGAGGAATGGAAGGACACGAGTTCAATGAGAACCGATGAAATCATGGAGGTAGGGGGCAGGTAGAGAGGACTTTAACGTCACCTCAGCCGGTCAGAGGAGCCCGATTCAGGGAAATTCACCCGAAACTGCTGTGATTGATGGGAGAAAAATCCCCTCCGCTCCCATCAGACGCAGATTCCAAATGTTTTTCGGTTTTTGAATTTTCAGTTTCCCCAAAAATAAAGTCCAAAAAACAGTAATTTCTTTTTTTCCTCTGCAGAAAAAATTGTTGGCCTGAGGAGAACTTTGGGTTTAAGTGAGCAAACGGAGCTGGAAGCAATAAATCAGGATGGGACAAGCATCAGGTGAGGGTTTTCCCAGAGAGGCCGAGTCGGAGGAGTGGAAGCTGTGTTTAAATGTGTGTGTGACGGAGCTGGAGAGGGGCAATCAGGCCGCGAGATAAGGCTGTGTGTACTCAGGCGGGAGCAGCACGGAACTGTCCATGAACGGCAACACACGTGTATATATACACCATATGGCGCTGCCGAAACAATCCCCCAGCTGGTAGCATGAAGGCGCCCCCCCTCCCTCCTCTGCAGGAAACTTACAGATGCAGAAGCACCACAGCTATGAGGGTCCACTCAGGGGTTTTATGGATGATGTTGGAGTTGGTGAACCTGCAGGGGAAAGGAAGCAGAGGCCACCATGAGTTCAGCGCAGGAAGACAGTCTGAGACATTTAGTAGATCTCTGCCTCGGTGAGACTTTCTAAAAACGCTGCTGGACTTCCTGCTGGACGTTGGACTCTCCTTTGTTTACTTTAAATCGGCGGCTCCTCGCCAAAAACTAACGCCAGCATTCTGTCATGTTATAATGGGAAACATTTCTGCATATTTTATTTTATGGAACAGAAATGGAGACAATTTTGTTCCAAAATACATGTTTTGTAAATGAAAACCTGCAGGAAAAATACAATCTGAAAAACACACTTCGCTCTTTTCTCAGATCATTTTTCCTCATATTATATTTATTTATGTTTTTTTTCAAACTTTGGTTTTTGAACAGCTTTTTATACAGATGTTATATTCTGGGTTGAGTTTTATGAACTGCATTATCTTCACCTCCAGCCCGATCAAGCTGCTCGCTATTGTTCACCGCAATGTTGCTAACATTCAGCAGAGCAATAGAAATGATTTTTTTTGTTCTTCATACCAGAGGAAATCCCGCCAGAAGTGAAGAGGACCTTATTAATAAAATTCAATCGGAAAAACGGAAAATAGAAAAAGGTTTTTATATATATATATATATATATATATA